AAGATAAAAACCTCTCACAACAATAAATACAATAAAACACTCTTCGTCTTTCTTCATCCTCTTCTAAAGGTAAAGTATCATCATCACGCTCGAGGTGTAAAGCATGGGCCATTTGAACTAGAAGTTAAATATAATAAACATATTAATAATATTTACGATATTTAATTTTAGATATAAATCACTATTATTGCATTATGTAACAACCCGTGCTTTTTTCATTTACTTATTGGCACGGGATTGTACGTCAGACACCATGCAAAAAAAATAGTTATTATATGGGTTATAAAAATAACTAAATTTGCATGGCATGGCCTTCGGTCATGTAACCCGTGCAAATTTAGTTATTTTTTACAACCCATACAATAATTATAACATATTAACACATACCAGCCATTCCGAGAAACATAGACCCGCTATTAAATCGTGACACGCTAACCTCTGCATGTGATAATAGAATTAATGATTGAACAGTTTCTAATCTTGGAGTATCGTACATTGTATCCAACAATCTCTAAATTATTAAATTAATAATAAATTATTTATAAATAAAGAATTTATTAGAGAACACGTTATTTATCACTGAACAAATAAAATACAGTACACCCGGTGGATTCGAAAAATTTTGTAAAAACTATCTTGTGACCAACGCGAAAGATGATTGGTCAATTTAGTTGGGTATCTAACACGTATCACTTCACTGACACGACACAACTAACTGGCATGTTTATTTTACAGATATTTAAATTACAGACGATTAATTTACCGACACTGTAGAGATTGTACCCATCAAGAAAATCTCTACCCGGGTATTATTAAATTACCCGGTTATCTGGGTAATTTATTATAGCCATATAATAAAAATGTCTACCTGGGTACAATCTCTAATCTCAAGAAATTGAAAATAATTCACCCGAAGAAAGAAAATTTTCTATCCAATCAATTTCAATATATATATATGTTTTTAATAAAATAAATTTTATCATTGTGATAAGTTGCATATAAAAATTCCAGATTACGATATACAAAATTGAGTTATGGCATATATAAAAAGTTATAACTTGAATAATTTTTATCGGCATATACGCAAGTTATAGCTTGCCGTAATTTAAAGTAAAAAGTTATAACTAGTTATAACTAAGTTACAGTACGGCCCATCCCAATGTCTCAAGTTACACCTGCATTACTAATCTCTATACAAATAAGTCTTGTCTTAAAAGCGCTGCACAGCAAGAACAGGACCAAGACACACCAAAAAGTCATGAAATCTTCATTTCCTTTTATAATCCCCCCAAAGTTTCAAATAGCCGTCCAAAGTTCCCGAAAATGGCCAGAATTATGCAGAATTAAGCAAATCATTCAGGTACACAAAAAAGTGAAAATATGAAAACCAGCAGTTTAAACCTAATTGGCACTCTAAAAATGTCGGGATTCGATTTTACATATAATAGCAGATCTAATCATAATATAAATACCTAAATCCGAGATATATAATTCTGGAAATTTCCTACATCACACGAATTTCGAAGAGATGCATTGTGGCACTAATAATATACAGTCAGACCTCCCTAAATGCACGTCGTCGGGACCAGCTCTGGAGCGTGCATTTAGAGAGGGTTGCAATCGGAGAACACTAATAAAATCATAATGTTACTATTTTCATGTAATAAATATAGCTTTAGTAGCCTAGAAATGATGAATT